TATATATATATAGCATTAACAAGCTAGAGTCCAGATCACTCACAACAAAACCTAAAGCTTTCTACATATATCTTCTAGCATTAACTTTGATTTACCAAATTTAGGCTGTTCGTTTTCTGATATACTATTGCTAGTTTGCTACAAGCTCCCAAAATGGCCTCAGTTACAGCGTTGGTGAATGAAAGGTCGGTGGTTATATTCAGCAAAACCTCGTGTTGCATGTGCCATACAATTCAGACATTGATAAGAAGTTTTGGAGCAAATCCAATTGTTTACGAGCTAGATGAGCATCCAAGGGGACAACAAATAGAGAAGGAGCTCAAGGGATTAGGGTGTAAGCCAAGTATACCAGCCGTTTTCATTGGGCAGCAGCTGATTGGGGGTGCCAATGAGATAATGACCCTTCATCTCAAGGGTCAGCTAGTGCCATTGCTCCTTAGCTCTAACGCTATATGGGTTTAGTGAAACGTGCTAAAAAAATTTCGAGATTTAATAGTATAAATTAAGTAAGAGTTATGTACGTTAATACAACTATAGGGTCAATTTGATGGTTCCACAGTTGTTAATTAAAGCAGGAAAGGCAAGTTTTTTGGCCTTCTTTTCTGCTGGTTTTTGTTCTTTTCCTTTATGAGTCCATAATGCATGTGCCAACTCGTACATGTAATTCCCTACTTTTGAAAAGCAACAAGAGATACCATGTATTGCAGAAGTTGTTACTGTGCTTAATTTGAAGTAACATTTTTTAATGCGTAAAAGTTTCTTATAGGGTCTCGGTACAGTGTTATACATCTCCACCTTGTACGGAGTCATACGAAAGTAAGGTATGAACCCAGCTTAAAAGTAACAATAATGTAATTTTATAAAGTAAAGATGCTCTATATACCAATCCAAAGAAAAAAAAAAAAAAAAGGACGTGCATGTACGTGTCACCACCCAGCCAAAGAAAAAAGAGCAATTTCCAAATAAAAAACGAAAAATATCCTAGAGGCACCGGCTCTCAGAGAACTTTTCCTCAAGTAGATGAGTGTAAACCTCTAATCTGAAAATAACCGAAAAACATAGCCGTTTCAAAAAAAAATCCATGGTTTGATTTTTTGCTGAAAAAAAAACGAAATTTTAGGAGATATCGGTTGGGTCTTTGTTTAAAAATTGAGAATAAAAACCGACCCAAACCTTAAACGGATGTCATTTTATAACATAGATATTTTACTTGATTAGTTAGATATGAAGTGATTTCTGTTTCCACTCGGTATTCAAAACCAGCAAGAACTTTCTTATCGTGGCAGTAATAAGATGTCAACTTATTTAGACATGTGAAACTTACTAACAAATTCATTCAGAAATAGTACTCCTTGATGAGAATTACCAACAGAATAATAAAAACAACAGTAGGATATCTCATGCTTGTCAGACTTAAAACGGTGTTATATAATCACATGTTGCACACAGGAAAAAACTGTGCATCTCAACAAGCCATTTGCATAAAGCCAAAGCCCCACTACTAGCAAATTAAAACCAGTGATCGATTTGATGAATTAGAAAACAGCACAACACCAAGATGCATGCCTTTTAAAACCATGAGGACTGATGCTGTAATTTCCAAGGGTTTCATTGGCTTTTTAATAATCTTAATCCGAGATTTTGAGAATAACTAAGATCTTCAAGTGAAAAGACAAAAAATTCTGAAACAGTTTCAAGCAACTTTTTCTCTTATCTCACCCGCAACTAAAAAAAGTGTCAAAGGGTTAATATAAAAAATGCTTTTCATCGGAGGTCCTTTGTCCTTTTCTAGAAGTGGAAAAGGCAGGGGAATAACCAGCCCACCAATCTCCAAAATCAAAAAAGACATGAGATGCCAGGACACGACTATGCGTTCTTATTTATAACCACACAAACACACTTAAATTTCTAGATAAAACCAAGTATGAAAGTTGAAGTTTAGATCCGAAATTCATGTGTCGTGGATCATAAAGATAACTTGTTAGGCTGGAGGGTGTGGCTGCGGTCTGGGGCCGCGGTTTGTGCCACCTCAGCGGCGCACACCGCCCCCAGACTGCGGTCTTGTGCGGTTTTTGCCGTGGTGCGGCCATTTGCAGCCATGCAATGTGATTGGTTGGGGAAGGAACGGTCAGATATTTGACCGTTGAATTTTATTTTTATTTTCCTTTTTGCCTTTCTTTCCTATATATACACAAACACTTTTTTTTTTCACATGATACAAACCCATCTCTCTCAAATTTAAAAAAAAAAAAAATTACCAATCTCTCTCAAAAGTGTTATCTTCTTCGTTTTTTTTTTTTTTTTTTTTTTTTTTTTTGTAATGCAATGTAATGTTTTTTGAATTTTCAATGTAATGTTTTTTTTAATTTTCAAGTACTGAAAAATTATGTTTTTTTATTAAAAAAGAAGTTTTAATTAGAATAGCTAAAAAAACAAAAATAAAATAAAATAAAAGTGTGGCACCACTCCCTTGGTGTGGCAAGAAACCACACTTGTGTGGTAAAAAATGACGTGGCGCTTATGTGGCGGTGGATGGAGTGCGGTTTCGGTGGTACCACTCCCTCCAGCCTTAGAAGGTATATGTAATAACATAAAATCGAGTCACCACATATATGCCAATAGAAACTCACACTAACGAGTCTATACATATATTAGGCCAAGACAAGATAGATACTCTTAAATAATAGCTTTTTATTTTAGAATTGCTCTCTAAATCCTACTCTTAAACTATACATTTGTCAACCACAGGAATTGAATCCTCAACCCCTTAATTATGGGAGGGACATCTCTTCAAACACCTCATACCGGTAGCCCAAGACACCTTTGAATAATAGCTATACCACTAACTTCATATAATAGTCAAAGATTAAATGCATCAGTGACTATATTTGATCCAAAGGAACACTACAAGGATCGAGCCCTATCCGGACGACAATTATGGACTCTGTCCAGACGACTTGTCGTCTGTAAAGCTTATACCGACGACATGTGGTCTGTAAAAAGTCGTCGGTATAGGTCCGTCGGTAAAAGTCAAAAATGTCGTCGGGACAGGAGTCGTCGGTATACCATAGCCAGTCCAGACGACATGTCGTATGCAAAGGATTGTCGGGATTGATTTTCGAGGAAATAAGAAAAAGTTTTATTCGGACCCTATACGTAACACCGTAAATTTCCAAACAAATTTTTCATTTTAAAAATCATATAATTCTCATAACGCATTTCACAAAATCTCATTTATTTAGTTTACAAAACGCATCTCCATAATTGTTTGATTAATAGTCCAGGATCCTCAAAACATAACTCTTTCTCCGGTGTGTACAATCGAGCCGTTGCCTTCCCGCGATCCTGATAAAAACCTGAAACACATAACACATAACACGGTAAGCACGAAGTTTAGTGAGTTCCCCAAAAATACCACACACATCTCAGTAGCCTCTCATGGCTATACTCAGATAAGACCCTCCGGTCAATGTGTCTCAGTGGAACCCTCCGATCCTAGAACTTAGGTGGACCCTCCGGTCCTAACTCAATAAGCTCATAAATACAATACTCAACATAAATCACAGAGACATAATGCAGAATATCACGACATACAAATAAGCACATAAAACATCTCAGTCACACAAGGACACCACTCATGGTAAGTATAGTGAGAAGACTCACCTCGGATGAAGAACAGCCCTCCTAAAAACGTTGATGCTGTGCACCGGCCTCTAACTCTGAGCCAAACCCACAATTAACCCAATTAGGAACTAAGTCCAAACTCTCACTCATTAGGTCTAAGGGTAGACCATTAACCGGCCCATTAATAGCCTAAAACCCATTGGGCCCACCAAGGCCAAAATAATAAATGGGCTCTCCTAAGGCCCAATTCTCAATCTAAATGGTAAGCCCAACTCAAGGGCCCAAAGCATAATATAATATTTCTCTGCTCAAAGTCACTAATACACAAGCCCAAAAATCCAGGCCCAACCCTTAAGGCCCAATAATAAATTCAGCCCAAAAGCTCACAGAGAGGTTATGCGGGGGGTACCTCTATTGGTACGCTCAGCGTACACTAGCATGCACGAATCTGATCGGGGACACCAACCCAGTACGCGGGGGGTACTGGAATTACGCTGGGCGTACGCCCAGTTTTGCTTAATCCATTCTCTTGGTCTTAACCTGTTAAGACCTTAGCTCATTTCTCAGATCTGGACTACCTAATAGCTCTTACTCCATAAAGTCAGTGACTTTAAGCCTTTGTATGGCTGATATGGTCACAAACACACAAAACACCCACTCTCTTATCTCAAAAATCTCATATATAACACCCCAAATTTCAATTGTTCAATGAAGGGCCAAAAGTGTAAATTTAGGAAAGGGACTCGACGAGTAGGTCCGCTTACTCGCCGAGTCGGAGCGAGATTCTATCGCGGTTTAAGTGGCCAACTCGCCGAGTCGGCGGCTTGGACTCGACGAGTTGGAGCTGAAGAGAGAAAACCCTAATCCCGGGGGTTGTGCCCTATATAAAGCACATTATAACCCACCCTCAGCCTCTTTGCTACCCTTTTGAGATCCAGAAACCCTAGAATCGGGTGAGCTTCCATTAATAGAGAGAATAGAACTTTGGAGGAGAAAATCTTGGAAAGGGGCTTGAAGATCAAGAGGTTTGTTGCAAAGGAGTGGTGTAGATCCGGGATCTACTTCAGTTGGAGCTTATATTTGAGGTAATAATCTGTTGCTTGGGCTCTTTTGCATCTAGATCTATTAT